TCGTTTGGAAAGAGTAAAAGTTATGATAAGCAAAAAGTTCTTTTCATAGTTATATTTTTTGAGAATTCGAGATTATTGCTATTTTTTTAATAAAATAAAATTTTTTACATAATATTATCTCTACTTATTATGGATATAAAAACATTAAAATAATTATTTAAAAAAATTAATAATTTACGAAATATTTTATACTTTATTTTTTTATAAGTATATTCTAATATACTTTTATACACAGAATAATGAGATGAATCAATAAGAAAATTTATACATATGTGTGTGTGTGCGTACGTATTGATATAGTAGTATGATATATCAATGACATGTAAATCATACATGTGTTCCTACTAAATTGATAATATAGACTGCTTTAGGATCTTCTTAATATCGCAATAATCTTGAAATCTGAAAAAATATGATTTAAAAAAAATTTTGCTTATCATAATGTCTACCCTTTCAAAACAAACAATTTTTCTTTTTAATATTTTTATATCGTAAAAACAACAGAGCCATTTTAAATATTCAAATAGAAAAATACCCTGTGCGCGATCATCGTAAATTTTTTAAATGAAAATTTTTTAATGGCTTTAGTATTTCTTCTTTTTTCTAGTTTAATAGTCTTAAGTAGCATTAGTGCTATGCCTATATAGCTAGCAGTAAATATGATCTCTGATATCTCTCCATAGAAAATTTGGAATGTGTTTTTGTGCAAAACAATATTGAGCTTCGAAATAGGTCCCCAGAGTCCCCAGAGTTAGATCCACATATGAATTTTTTTTATTACAATTTGTATTATTTTATATTTTTATTCATCTTTCTGATTGTAAGAAGTGTAAAGTATTGAACACAATAGATCAGATGGTTTTATGCGCAACGCAAATAAAAATGTTTTGTCGCACTGCAGTTTATATTCATCTTTGATCGATTATAATTGTGCAAATTAATGGTCAATGTATCCTGTCTCAATGTCTCTCAATGCCTGTTTCACTAACGGCACCGGACGGTGCCGTTGAATTGCTGCTCGATGCTGTCCTGCCTGACACCTTATATGTCCTCATGGATGTTTTCGATGTCTTCCTTCTTGCATCGTCCTTGTGCACTGCCGTCTTGCCGCACGACTTCTATCCAGCAGCTTCAAAGGGTGAGTCTCTTACGTAACGCTTCTACACGTTTCTAGTTGATTTGCTTATTTATTTATTAAAATATATTTTATTTGTTTTAATTTTACTTATTATAATATAGTTTATGTATAGTACGTCTTACATAACTTAGAGATTTGCTTGTTAAAATGGGGTCGTAAGTATATATCGGAAACTAATAGTATTTCGACATCAAGAGAAAACACTGTTGTAATAAATATAATATACAGTTATATGCAGTTATATATATATACAGTTTTTTTTAATTACTGAATTATTATAAATCATTATAATATTTTAAATGTTTATTAAGTACATATCGCACAAACCATATATAAAAATTATATAATATCAAATTTACAATAAAATACAATTAATATCATATATATATTAATTCAGAACAGTAATTTTAATTTTGTTATTATTTAAAAAGAAATTAATAACGATTAACATAAAAATTGAAGTTCTATACAAAACTTATATTTACAATCGTTAATTTTCTCATTAAAAAATTCTTAAATATTTCTAATTAATCATGTATATAAATAATTTTAGTATATAATTTATAAACACAATAACGAGCGTGATAAATGTTTCCGGTCAAATATGATACTATCTCAATATTGAACTATTTATAGTTTAGATCGCGTGACATGAAGATACTCAAGAAATCCGAGAGTACAGTGTAAACTGACTTGCACCCTTTCATCTTTTTAAAATGGCTTACCTTCAGCTTTCAAGGAACTGAAAACCAATAAATAACGTTCAAGAAAGTTCGAGCTCTTTTCATAGAAGATCTACATATTTTTATAGAATACGCATATTTTATAGAAAAATAATTATATAAATATATCTATATTCGTAAATATATTAATACAAAACATAAAAAAAAGTTAATTTAATTTCCATTCTGTAACTTTTAACGACAGTTCGATATCGTTATGTTGTTGCATAGCTTCTTTGCCATATACATCTGCATAACAAGTATATCGACATTGTCATTAAAAATTACAGAAATACAGTCGGAATACAATCGAGATTTGTTTTTTTTACAATCGAGATTTGTTCTTTTTACATATTAATAATACGTTTTTCTTCAAATATCATTGGGTTGTTCCAAGCAATATTTGATACTTAACAACAGGCACATGATGCCAAAATTTAGCATCTTACGCAGAGCTGATTGAAGCCAAATAATTTTAACAATATTACAGAATTGTCAAGGGATTTCCGCCAGTTTCACCTTTCATTGGAGTCTCGCCAACTTTATGTTATCTTCTTAAAGAAAAGAAACCTCTCTGTTGCCTTCAGCTGGCTCAGGTATGTATAACACTGCAGATTGAAAAATAAAAATAAATTTTTAAAATTATATCTAAAATTTTAACGATTTCTTACATTCATAATTCTTTTTTCTATTTTATTAGGTGTGTCAGCATTGCAGTTATAGAAACGCCAAAGAATATAACTGGCAGAATAAAACCATTATATTGGCAGCGGATTATGCTAGCAATGGAATTTATAATTTTATAATACCACTGAGGGCACATTTTAGGTATTTATTGCATTATTAATATATAATTGTTTATTGATAAACATTACAGTTTGTACACTAAACTCCATAAAATGTTTCCATATATTAAGCAGAAATTTATGTTACTTCACAATTATATTAATACTTTGATTTAAAATATCTCAAATATTTTAAAATATTATTGCAAATATAATTGCAAGAGTTATTAAAAGCTAATTTTAATTAGCTAAAGCCGTTTATAATTAACTGTATTTTTAATATAAAATGTTTAATATAAAATTTTAAAATCTTTCACATATATTTTCGTATATATATATATATATATATATTTTTTTTTTCTAAACATTTTTTAAAAATAATTATATTCAAAATATTTTTAAAATCGCATATGATTTTAAAGACAATAGATCACAATCACAGAGGATGTTGTTTTTTGCTAAATACTGTTAAGTATTTTGTGTTGCCAATTAAGAGAGAGAGAATAATTGCATATTTATTAAAATTAAAAGGGAATTGAATGAAGGGAATATCATTGGTCAACTATAATATAAATAGATATGAGGAGGAGCTATCAATTAATAAACAGGAACATTTGCTAGGTCGAAAACATCATTAAATCCGATCATCCTTTTGCTGGAGAGAAAACCGGAAATAGCATTTCTCGATGCAGTGTCCTACTTTCCATTAGTCTATTGGATGCGTGGTTCTATCGACTGTTTAGATGATCTTCTCCGAGCTGGTATTACTTTGGCGGAAAACGTCGTAGTCGTAAACAAAGAACTCAATAATTCCGCCGAGGAAGATACCCTAGCTGATTGCAACACGATTGTTGCAGTGCAGACTATGTTCAAGTGAGCGCTTACATGATATGTCTTGCAAAAACGAAAATTATTCGTGAAATATTTCGAGTATATTTCATAACTGTTATTCCGATTATTGATAACTTAAATTGCAAAAGAGAATTGTATTGCTGTTTATTAATTTAAAATAAATTATTTTTTTACATAATAATTTTTTACATAATACATAGTATATGTTCTATTCCCTAAATATACTAAATATAATATCTTTAAATAAACAGATTATTTTGATGCCTACTTATAATGATGTAAAAATAAAATAATGTTTACAATGTATAATTACATAAATTGGATTATAAAAATTAGTAGATTAAATAAGAAAATTAAGATATATTTTCATAGTATAACGATAAATATAGTTAAAGGAGAGACTGTTAATAAAATTATGTATTACATTCTCATTTTTTATGAGATTGTTCTCTTTTTTTGATAGATTCTTCCCAAGCATAAAGAGCATAACAGAATTGTCCCAGTCGAGTAATATGCGTTTCATGCAGTTTCGGGCACACGACAAGTACGCTTTGCATCTCAGCAAAATGGAAAAGGTACTCCTCAGTGCTACTACCGATGACAACTCTGATGAGCCTTCGATGGGCTCCCCGGTAACACGATATCACTCATTCTCCAACCTCTGATTGATTGATTGTTGAATTGATTGATCGATTGCTACATACCTAATGTTATCGTCGCTCTCGTATTAATATTCACCTGATCTAAAAATACTACATCAATCATAAAATTAATATTTTGCATAATCCGACGCAAACTTATTTATCAATATCGGTAAAATTGTAACAAAAAATATTTTTGTAGTTGAAACTTATAAATTTATTTCTTTTATATTTTGTCCTACTTTGCTGTTTTCCGGCATAGCTTTTATACAAATCTAATTTCGGTGGATGTAGCGTTCGAGGTTGCGGCAAACTTAAAAGGATGCTTTCTAAGATTTGCGATCACCGGCCTCGTAAAGTCATGCCGTTGGAAGCGGGAAGAAATTACAAGAGTAAAGTCGCTCCGCGCGGAAATCACTTTGCTCTAAGTGCTGCTTTCCGCATCCATCCTCGTCGTGCCGCTTGTCAACTTTATCAATGCCATCGCATCTTTACTTTATTCTTTGGTTCGCAATATATACACAAAAGAATCCATAAAATTTTTTAAAATAAAATTCTAAAGAGAATAAACCGTAGAGATTATGTTATGACTAGCTTTTAGTATCAGTTTTTTAAATTGGTCATTATATGAATATTATTTCGTACAAAATAAACAATTTTTTTTTCAAACAAATATGTAGATTATTGGAAGAAATGTTTAATTTTTATATTAATTATGATTAATTATGAATTGATTATACATACAATTAGAATAATAAGTCGATTATAAATAATCGACTTATAAATAATAAATAAATAAAATCATTTTTAAGTACATATATTAATTAGAAGTACCCAATAGCAAATTTTAAGATAGAGAAGTTTTTTAATAATTATTATTTTATGAAATATTTTACAAGAGCGATGAAAACATAAAAAATATTGATAACTTTATGAACATTTTAAAAGTAGTCGCTTATGAACTTACATATTATAGGTATCGATGCATGAATCATAATTAACTGATTATCTCTTGTATTGTCCCATATTATTGTCCCATTGCACTCAATATAGCGATAGCTATTCTTTAGTACACGTACATTAATATTAAATTAAATATTATAACATGATAACACATGTCTTGAAATTGATGCTAAATAGATTAGAATCCTTGAAAATATCATAAACTTTTTTCATTTTTTGCGCAAATATATACATATATTATTTTATTTTTCTGCATTATATTCAAAGCACACATTCAATTAACTTGCATTACCTGGCATTTTTTTATATATACATTGAGAGTCATGCAAGATGTGTGACACGCGTAATGATTCAAAAATTGTAATGTAATTCCAACAATATTGCAGTAAGCTTTGGGTATTTTTACTTCACTACCTTTTACGCTACTTACAGAAGTGATAAGGATAGCTTTGGCCCATTTTTACAAATATTTTAAAATAATCTCATTATTTTGTTTTATCCAAATTTTCTTTATTTACAAATGACATATAAGAAACTTCAACGTATCATTTCTCGCTTTTGAGACGTCACGATTCAATATGGTCGCAACTAATTATTTAGATCCTTAAGATCCTAATTACGTTGGTATTAATATAAATCTTAAAACATTTTACATATTAGTTTTGCAAGTTAAAAATTTCCGAAATTAACTTTTCGTTTTTTTTTTGTTTGATATGTCACACTGTATGATTCATCTTCGATCTTTAAACTTTTAATTTATATTCTTTTGTATGAAGAGAAAAAAGTTGTAGATTATTTATGTCACATCATTTTCATGCTATATTACATGATGCGATGCGGATATTCGAAAATGTACAATATTTAAAATATTAGTTTTTATTATAATGTATATAGATATTAAAGTTCATCACAAATTTCAATATTTAAATCGGATTTAACTGGAATTATTAAAAGAAAAAATGAAAAAGTTAATTCTATCCAATATTATATAAATCTAGTACATTTTATGTAATTCTTGGATGGCATCATATATTGCGTTGGCTGACGGATTTTTTTATTTAATACACTCTTTGATGATATGTTATAGATTGCTAGATCAATGTTGATTAATTTTTTTTAATTATTTTATTTTAAGTAACAACGTATTTTTAACGTTTTATTTATTTATGATAATAATATATGGTTTAGAATTTACAATTCTTATTGCTTGTATTTGTTTGCTAGAAATATTCATTGGAGCTTAAAAATTGATATTGTTTGCCTGATTGAAAATGTTGACACATTCGGGGCGTATTTAAATGAGAAGAGAGAAATATTTATATACGGGGAGACCCGGGAGATGTATGAAGGTTTATAACAAATTTTAGGAGCGATTGGATGCTGTAATCGGGATATTATCTATAAATATGTAAATAAAATTGATGAATGGTAATGTTTACAGAGAGAAAAGGAAAGAGGATCTCACATATCGTATATGTTTCGATTGCCGTTCGCCGCTGGCAGTGTCTTCAGTGCTTCGATGTTAGATACTTTGCTTTATCAAGCATTCGTTAAGGATTACGTAATAACATTCGTAAGACTATTATTGGGAGTAGATCAAGCGCCAGGATCTGGATTTCTTACATCGGTAAGTAATTATTTAAAATATATTATCATATAATGATAATATATTTAATAAAATAGAATTATTTTGAAATATATTATGTATATTAGTAGAAAATATAAAATATATTATGTTAATAGGAAATCTGCAAATATGATGAATATATATATTTAATTTCTTCATATTAGTTAATTCCTTTGATATACAGAATGTCTTATTTTAATTTTCACGGAAAAATGTCTCAGACAAAGCTACACAGCCTGGCAAGGCATAATTTATTTTCATTTGACAACTCCAAAAAAATTAATCTTTTTGAATTATGACAATTTTGATGAGTTTTTTTAAATTATCCTTTTTGTGATAATTTTGATACTATTTTTTGAATCAATTATTCACTTTTGATGATTGATAGAGTAATGTTTATTCAATTTATTTATGGTAATAACTCGAGAATCGTTTTTTAAGTTGTGTTACTTTTAAGTAACAGTAAGTAAGAAGTAAAGAAGCAATATAATAGGAATTATAAAGAGTTATGAATATATTTATAAAAAATTATAAAAAATATTCTATAATACTTGATTATTTATACTATTGGCGAATATAATGGAAACAATTGCAGATGCGCATAACGAAGGATGACATGTGGATAAGAACATACGGCAGATTATATCAAAAACTTTGTTCGACTACCTGCGAAATTCCAATTGGAATATACAGAACACAAGATACTACTGTATCTGACTCCTCGCATGTAAGTGTAATTTTAAATTTCTCTCATCTAGAAAGAAATATAGTCGAAGTAGAATTTGTTACTTGTATTTTCTAAAAACAGGAAAATTCTTTGAATGGCGGCTGTGAGTAGCGCATGGTTGTGCTCTCGCTCCTTCTTTTGATTTCGTTTCCTGCTCCATTTCTTCTCGTGGCATTTCTCGGCCTATTCCTACCGCGCATAAATAACGAACCGGAATCGTTGCATCTTGTCGAACTTTCATAGCACGTTTATCTCCCTAATTCATTGGTCTTTGACATGCATAGTATTAGATTTAGTGTGCTCGATGCATACAGCTTTCGTTTAAACTCTAATTATAAAATACAGTAAGAAAATAATAGAATTTTAATTAATAGTTATTTTGATAATATATGAACTTTAGTGTATGCTTTGATAGATAAAATTCTTCTACTAAATCTAAAACGATAGGCCGTTCAAACACAATTCGTCTAACAAATACATACAATACAAAGCGCTTGTGTTTTCGAGTGTTAATATCCTCAGCGAGAAGCACTTCGATGGAAGAAATCGAGCGAGCGACCTAATCGAGCCACAGCAATGTGCTGTATTCAGACGCGAAACACGGCCGCGACGCTATACGAAATCGCAGCATTGTAGATGCGCTATCATTAGTAAGGGTAGAATTGCTTGTCGTTTTAACAGGGCGACTCAGATGCGGAAAGCGACGCCGGCGTCGGTGTGACGTACAAGGTGCGTCATTCGGCGGCAGCTTCGTGCCTTGCAAATTGCGGTACCCGTGACAAGGGTGCATCTGCTGTGAGTAAAACGTCGATGTGGTGGCTGTTCTTTCTTTCTGATCGTTTTAACCTACTTCTATCTTATTCTCCATACGCTTCTATTTCACTATCGTTCTGCCTCTTCATATCTTTCTCTTTCTCTCTTCTTCTTCCTCATTCACACTTTCTCTGATGGACGTCCAGACTTGTCTGCCGCAGCTCAGCAGCGCATGTGAAACGTATCTCCCCGAGATTGATTACACACACATCAGGAATTTTTAATCGTCTTCGCGAAGCCAAAGATGTTCTTATCTGTTATATAGATTTAAGATCGATTGTGGCGTTCAGAGTCGATATCGAGAAGGTGGCGATAACAGTGAAATGCGATAACAGTTTTTGTAATATCATAAAAGCTGCGCGCGTTAAGCCACTTGTTGCATATGAAAAGATAAATATGCACATATTTGTCAATTTGAATTTATTACGTTATGTACATTATATACGTTTGATAGTTCACATATAAATATTAACCGATTTCTCGACAAGTTTATAAATCTCTTTTTATAACAAGCAATAATCACACACTCGATCAAGATTGTATTAAAAAGTATTACAAAGTTTTTTATTTGCATTACAATGTCCTACAAAAAAACTGCAATTCTTTACTTTATTCTGCACTTTATAAAGAGCACGTAATCTCGAGTGCACAATGCAACACTATTTTATCACTATTTTATTATACAAAATTAAAAGGTGGAATAATCAATGCATTATTTAGGCCACCTCATTGATATTATCGATCGTCACATCAGAATACTTGTTTCAGTGCACAAGCGCAGATTTATATTAATACGTTATATTTTTTTCATATACTGCCAGTATTCGGTGAGTCTTGGTGATGAGGCACGTGACAATCATGCGCAGCAAATCGAACGAGCGGAGATTGCGAACTTGGTGCGTTCACGGATGGAATCGCTAAACCTCCCGGTTGCTGACTATGACGATGTATCGGAGAAGCGTAATAGTCTCTCCTATGTGATTATCAATCCAAGCTGCGACCTAAAACTCGAAGAAGGTGACATTGTATATTTGGTGCGACCCAGCCCGTTCTCCGCACAGAAGACCTTCGAACGACACAACTCTCGCCGTAAGAGCAACATCAGTTTTTGTTCGGCGCAGCTAGTATCGCAAATGAGCGCAGCAGTTGCAGCAGCAGGTCTTCAGACCGGCGGACCGGGTAGTCGTCGCGGTTCCAGCATAGGTTTAGCTAGGGCGCCACCTTTAGGGACGACCAAGTCAAATTCACTATCTTTACCAGATAGTCCTACCGTGGCCGGTACTTTGCGCGGTCGTTCAAACTCATTGAGGGTGGTCGATGATATTTTGCTGCGACGCAGTAATTCTCTGAGGCAGGGTTTGACGACCAGGAGAAAGAGTAGTTTGGAGGATATCGGTATGGGTGCGCTTTCACACCCTTCTAATCACAACTCGATCAAGATCGCCTTGAATGGCTCAATTGGTTTGGAGGTGACACCGCCAGAGGAAGGTTCGCAGGCTGGTATTGGAGCTAGCAATACCGGTATTCTCGACGTAGGTCTGCCTTCCATGCCGGAACTTAATGCAGCCTTCGGACCCAGTCTCGGCGCAGGCCTTGGCGGTTCCTTGAGTGGTCTCTACGATCCACCCTCTCTTCAGTGTCCAATGGGTTCGCCCTGCCAATCACTGCAGATGCAGGGTACCACACAAGATCCGCAACATATACAGGGGACAATAGTATGATATAACCTAATGTGGGGACGCAGGCTCTCCGGCGTGGCACGAAATAAGTGGCTGTAGCGTTCCCACATAGTGTTTAATGCTAGACGACATCAAGAATAATGTCCTTATGATTATAACGATTATAACAGATCGATAAAGGATATTTTAACATCGTATTTCGTGGGACTGATTAAGCCAAATGGATGAGACGGAGAGCAAGATGTTTCGAAATTGACATCAGACTAATGACTATTGCGAGTATAGAAGATATATTTTGCAATAGGTAAAGTAAAGTTGGGATGAGATTATTTCGAGTTTAACTTAGTTCTGACTCTCTTAGAATTAATTTATGTATTATAGTCTTTATAGTCTTCAAATGTAAATACATAAATTTAATAACTTTTATTACAAGTAAATAATTCACATATTATTAATGCAGTTCGTTGTTATTGATATTCAAATTATTTTAATTATCAATCATTAAGATTTACGAAAATAAATTTTTATAAAATAATGATTGATATTAAACATTAAATTTTTAATTTTAGATTTTGGTATTAATATTGTTGAATTATTCCTAATATATAAAATTTTTTTTCGCTTAAAAATGACGCGATTTATGACAATTTATGGATTTAAATACAAATATATCATAACTGTGATATGTTAACTCATTGATTTTCTGAAAAGTATGCTTTATATTTATGAAGAGTCTCGTCGGAAATCTCAAAATGCTATCATGATTATTGATAAAGAATCGCGTCAATCAGAAACCGATATACGCCCTCTTTATTATTAGAAGGCGATATAAAATTACATTGCGAGCTTATGCTATGTTGTATTTTCTTTTTATAATTTGTACTAAAGTCCATGGCACATAAGCCTATAGCACATACAAAAAGGTAATAAAATGTAAGCAGTAAGAAAATTATAGCATTGGATTCATTACTAATCTTATGGTCTCTATTGTGGCCAATTTACAGCTTACGTCTCACTATCTTACATTTTTGTATATGCTATATAGGCTTAATAGCAGCTACGTTTTTAAAACGTTTTGCTCTCTAGGTCGCCTTTAGCGAATTAACATTCGCGTCTATGACTTCATTCATCGGGCAGTAACTTATATAAAATAGTGTACGAAATGGCACTTAAAAACGCTTTGTATGATGGTTGATAAGCATATATTTTTAATCACTTGTAATCTGAACATACAATACAAATTGCTACAAATTTACTTCATTTCCTGAATTGTGGGAGATTTGAAAAATACTTTGTTTAAATATGAAATGTAACAAAAAATTGCTGTAAATCTTATATTTTAAATACTATTTATATTTATTTTCAATCATTTTCTTTTAATCAAAATAGAGAGAAAAAATTAGATTTTGTATTAAATGTTAATCTTTTAATTAATAATTGTCACAATTATAATTAATAATTTTAAATGTAATTAATAATAAATTTTTTAAAATTAAATCACAATTTACAATAAATGCTTGTCCGTCTATTTCATACATTTTCGAAATACAATTACCGAGAGTACAATATAAATCTTCTATAATGTATTTCTCGATTCTTATCTAGCGTTGCGCTCAGCGATCGAGCGTGAATAATTTTGTAATAGAAAGAAAATTTATGGCGAGAGTCTATTATATATATATATATCATAGAGATATGCTGTATGACCACATTTTAATCATATCACACGAGAATGCCGCTCACGCGGAAGTCATCATTATATCCTACATAAATAAGAAAAAGAATATTTTAGAAAGATTTAAGTGCTTAGAACTTGCGCGTATATTATCATCACTTTTTCGCGCGGTGACTAATAAATTGTCATTGAATTTTAATGTCAAATCGCAGGACGATTGTCGATCTTCATGATGACGCCGAAATATACGGCCGATATTTTAAATAATATAGACAAGAATCGTACTATGTTAGTATCGTGAAAATTACATGATAGATGAAAATCGATCGCAAGTGAATCGTACGAAAACTATTACTCCTATTACCTTCTTCTTCTACTTAATTTACTCTCCTATTAGTTTCAGCCTTGTGTTTCGTGGCTATCCCAAGAGTTAGTTATCGTTAGCGAGAGAATAACAATTATTCTCGTTTGATAATTCAACAATTTGTTCAATTATTTAATTCAAATTCGAGTGAGTCGTTATTCGCCACTCAAGACAAGTTACATCGATTGGATTATCTAACTATGGATGACGTGTTTCTGGTTTTTCTCTAGATTGTCATATCTTCCGAGTAGTAACTTCGAGGAAAGAATAATTATAGGATTATAAAAATTTTTTAAATATGTAAAAAATTTCTAAAAAGATATTTGAAAAATTGATAAAGTGTTGCCTGAGGAAGATATGAGTGCATCACAGTTAGCCAAATTGGTGCAACAGACCACAATAGAATCTAATCTTTGACGTGACGCCACAATCGTGACGCTCACAGCCAAACGTAATCGTTCATTGACCAATTTACACTTTTCTTCGACCAATCAAGTTATATTATCGAGTACTTGCTTCGATATTGCTTTCAATAAGCCCAGTCAATTTAATGTTAAATGCACCGTTAGAAATCTATTTCACAAAACAATTTTTGGATAAATATCCTTTAAATTATTATTATTATATTAATTTTTTATATATAACGTTTTAATATATATACGTTTTAATATGTGTAAAATAATTTGACGTTTGTAATGAAAATAGTAATTACATAATAAAATAATAGTAATAATAATAAAAAGTATTGATTTAAATATTAAAATAAAAAATTTAATTCATAATTACATAAAATAAATTAAAATAATTTTTTATTATTATCTTTATAATAAATGCTTTACATATGCAAAACAAGTTATATCATCTATTCGATATTACAAAACAATTGGTAATTTAAATTTAATTCGATTATAACAAAAATTAAAAATTAGACATTTTAAGAGCGCAAATCACAAAATAAAAAACTAAAAAGTCGATTTGTGGAATAGATCAGTCAAAGTAATTTTTTAGACGAAACTGAGACAAGGTGTGAGGCAGGTTTTAAATGCGCTTTGTACAAAATCAAAATATAAAATAAGTAACACACCATGTCTCTTTTTCCTCAGGCTCGCTTTACACTTATAATTGAAAATATCAAAATTATCGTATCACGTACATTGAATTATCACAGTTTTGTCGTTTTATTATTTGATCAAAGTAAAATCATTTCAATCCAACATTTGGATTCATGGATATTCCATGCATTTGAATCTTTAATTAAATCATTTTTTCTCTCACTTTATACTCTCTTTTACCTTTAATAGCTTTTTATTTTTTTCTGTTTGATTAGCGCTGAATCTTTCATCGGCGACAGCTCGTAGATTTTTATACGTAAATACTTTGTGAACAAATAATTTTTAAAAGAAGAATAATAAAGAATTTTTTATGTAATAAGTAGAAAAAAATTCTGAATTCCGAATATAAAAAAATATAATATCGCGATCTTGTCTTAAACAATAATTTAGAGAACCTTAACAGTTTTGTATAATTTTACCGAACATATGACAGAGAGAGCCCGACTGCAGTAAAATTATTTGACAATGTTTTTATCTAAAATAGTATTAGTAAAGAGAGCAACAAAAATTATGTGACTTATCACCTTCTATTTCCAATTAAAAATGTATAGTTCAAGTTCTTGAGACTTTTTGCTGAAACTTTCTTTCCTTCCCTTTAAAGAAAAATTCTACTGAATTGAGATTACATTCAGATAACACAGTGAATCATAAAATCTAAACTTCTTTTGTTTATATGAACAAATATCTCGATAGGAAGATTATTATTGTAAAAATGACAGAATAAATTTAATGCTAGGGATGCATCGAAAGCGTTCATGTATCCACACGATATTGCGAAAGCGAGTAAAACGGTTATTCGAAGAGTATATATATATAATTTATAATTAATTATAGGATCAATCCAATATAATGTGACCTGACTCTTCATAGTTGAATTTAATAATCTATAGAGTATCCGCGCATTACAAAATTAATGCGGCAAAGTTATAGCAATCTGTCGGCGCTTGCCGCTCTCGAGGAAGATTGTTCGAATTACGTTTGAATGAGAGCGCGATGGATTCCGCAAAACTCTGAAACTCTTCTTACAATATGCAAGAATTGAACCTGCCCATGCAGTTCTTATATAATGTAGGATAAATACAACGATTTACCATGTGTGCAATGTGTGTGACTTTTTGGAAAGTAGAACATTGAATTTAATTGGACTTATTTGAAATTTATATTTATTTCATCTCAATTTATATTAAAAGATGTAAAATCTGCGAAAATAAAGAAAATACGTTATATTTAAAAAATATAACTTGTTGATAACATTTGTATTAATTAATCTATAATAACTTGATTATTTTTTATTAATAGAACAAATAGTTCATTTTTTCTTGTAGCAAAATTACATCATAGTTATTAATGGTAAAAAAAAGAATTATTAATGTTCACGTTCAGCTTTCCTCGTTCAATGTGTATTAACATCCATATCCATCAACAGTTAAAAATTTTTTTTCATTAAAACTCGATATTTTAATAACTTTATGATAATTTTACTCATATTTTACATTCGTAATATAAAATTCGAAGAATAGTTTTTTTCTTAATATTTTTTTTAAAGTTTTTTTCTTAATATTTATAAAATCGTTTGTACTCGTACCTTTATTACGCGAGGGTACATGTTAAACAGCTGTAAGTTTTCTAAAGGTTTTCGTATAATTACTTTTTTACAAAATAATTTAGTATTGATTCCTTTGATAATTTTAATATATCTTTCACAGTTACACGATTTAGTTCAAATTTTCTGTTAAATTTAGTGCAAAATTTCGATTATCTGAATTCTATTCACTTAACATTTATATTTCTTTTAACCAATATATTTCTTTTAACCAGCAGTCAATCAGATAGTTTAATAATAAATATATAATAAAAATGCGGACCACTCTTCTTTTCCATCACGATTTTCGCATGATTGTAATGACGTACGTTTAATTTTAATGAATACTTCCTTATTAATATATCAGATATTTTATGTAGTTTCTTCGTTTTTAAAAATATGCTCAAAATTAATTATATTATTTACAAAACGGAAGTTATATATGTTTTGTGTATTTCCAAGAAGTGATTAAATTTACATATTTAAATAATATTCACTCCCTCAGGTATTTTAATTACAATTATTTTGCTATATAATCCGCTTTCCGGATTAGAAGTAGCCGTATTTGAAAGCATGAATTTGTTTTCCAAATTGAAGAGAGATGCATGTATTTTCTTGCGGATGCACCAGATATCACACAAGTTCCTTCGAAAGTTTAAGCAAGAGATTGGTGCACCTCGAATGAGCTTTCTTCGAATGGCATGAGTCTTATAGAAGTGTCCAGCTGGGTTCTTATGATAAGATTACGTAATTAAGTATTCCTCGACCACAAATACAAATATAAACGGCTGTACGTAATGTAAAATAATAAAAACAGAAAATAGAGAGAGAGAGAGAGAGAGAGAGAGAGAGAGAAAGAGAGAGAGAGAGAGAGAGA